TATATCATGCAGTTTGGTTGGAAAACATATATATAAACATATAGAGTTAAACTGAACATCTGTTATAAACCCACTTCCTGTCATTTTTTAGGTGGAATTGCACATAAATGGTAGGTGCTAGAAACAAAGATCAAGTGTTTATTTGAAGCAGAGATGTATATGCTATAAAAATATGATTATTCCAGCTTAAATATTTCTTAAGCTATTCAACAAAAACCAAAATGTGTTAGAGTGTGGCCTGCTCTCCCCTACTTTACAACTGCAAAATTCAACATTAAAAAGTAATGTAAGCACAGCTTTGGAAACCACAGACTCTGATGCCACCTTCTGGCAGCTGACACACTGTTCATCATTTGGTCAGAGTTAACAGCAAAAGGACTGTATCCTGATAAGCCACAGGCATTTACACTAGGTAGTCAAATAATGCATCTCCTGTTAGTTGGACTGAAATCTGATTGCTGTGTGGGACAGAAGCAAATCTGCTCATTACACGGCAACTATTTACCAATTGTTTATCCATTCAGCCTCTTCGTCTGCAGTTTGGTTTGCACAGTATTGTCTGTCTATATTGCTGTTGAGCATTTCATATAGTCCGGTCCCCAACCATGTGCGTCCTTCATTAGTAACTTTCTGATGATGTGATCACGTGTCCAGTTTCGTACTGTGTGGGGAGGAGTTTTGGTTGTATTGGTGGTGGGGGGGTATAATGTTATGTTATAACATGCCTCAAATGCATCTCAGACCACCTCTTGAAGTGGTTTAAGCGATCAGATCAGTTTTAAATGTGTTTTGGGTGAGTTTACACTTGCATTGTTATGTGACTTGGCCTTATTCAGATATAATCCTGATACTGAAGATGCATAAATAACCAGGTGTAAAAGGGGTCTGAGATTCTTATGCTTAGCCTGGGGTTTTGGGCAGTATCCACTTGTTTTATACCTTCATACTATTTCTAAATATTACTGTGGTTTACAGTATTTAACAGGGGAGTTGGGCTTGTTACTTTGTAAGTGACATAAAAACATATTTCTGATGTTTCCAGAGTGAGTAGCATCAGTCTCTCCCGCAGGTTTGATATGAGTGGCGTACAACTTACAAGCTCTGATATGATTGGCGGAGCCATGCCGAGCAGTGGAGCTGTGGAGGGATCAATCATGCTTCTCTATCTATTGTTTGGTGAATGCCAGAAGAACATTACCTGCTTGACTGCATTGTGCCAACTGTAAAGTTGGGTGGAGGAGGGATAATGTTATGGGATTGTTTTTCAGAGGTTGGCCTAGAACCCTTAGTTCCAGTGAAGGAAAATCTTAATGCTTCATCATTTTGGACAATTCTTTGCTTCCAACTTTGTGGGAACAGTTTGGGGAAGAACCTTTTCTGTTCCAGCATGACTGAGCACCAGTGCACAAAGTAAGGTCCATAAAGGCCTGGCTGGGTGAGTTTGGTGAGGAAGAACTTGACTGACCCTCACAGAGCCCTGACTTCAACCCCATCCAACACCTTTGCGATGAACTAGAACAGAGATTGCGAGTCAGGCCCTCTAGTCCAACATCAGTGTCTGTCCTCACAAATGCTTTTCTGGATGAATGGACAAAAATTCCAACAGACACACTCCAGAAGAGAATAGCTGTAAAGGGGGACCAACTCCATATGTATACATGAAGCCTACGGACTTCCCAATGCTTATGTCCATATAGTGTATAATCAAATGCAATGGCTTAATGCCAGTAGTAATTTTTTATGTAATGGGATATATAGAACTGATTTCTGATGAAGGACGAGATGGCATTTTTAGAAGAAAAAATAGGTTTGTTACAGAAGGCCAACCCCGAAGATCAGCACACAGACTGCTGGTCACATAGCAACGCAGACAACAGTCTTGCCTAGTTAGTAGCTAACCAAAAGGCAAAGAGAGAGATTTCAGACAAACATCTATAATTTGGAGACGAATGGACTTATTTGCATTTATATTCACTCCAGCTGGTTTCCTACTACATTTAATTGGCAACGAGAAACTGTCAAACATTAAAAAGTCACAAAGCTGAACTCAAACTTCTTGTTCGAATTTTCCCATTCCACCTTAAATAATGCAGCAGTTGTATTTTGGCACCTCAGGGACCATTAAATGTGGAACGGGAAAATTAGAATGAAAAGCTGACTTCAGCCTTGTAAAAAGTCAAACATTGAGAGACATTTTACAAGAAGCTATCTTACTTTTGCGGAAAAGTTTCCTGCTGGAGATGTGAGAAAAGCGGCTATAGCTGAGCTAAAGCTTAAAGCAGAGCAAAGTAAATCTGCATTTTTGTTTATATTTTTTAGTCTACACTAGTACATCAGCACATACTGAGACATATTTGCAGCCAAGACGGTAAAATGGACATAAAATGTTGTGGCTCCCAAGATGGTTTTATTTTTGTTGAAAAGATAAAATAGCATTAACATTTGGGTTGCCAACCCCTGTGTTAAACCATTAGGATCCTTTACTTGTGACATTGGCCCATCAAAAAAGACAGCAGGGCAAAACTCCCACAACCCAGACCTCACTGCCAACGTCGCCGGTTTTAGATGAGACTGGAGACCTCTTGTTGGTGGGACAACTTTAAAAACAAAGTGGTCAGTGCAGAAATTAATAGAATATTCGTTTGTGAAGGCCATCGCTGTTGTTGTTGAGTGAGCTGCTTTGCCTACACATTGAAGGGCAGACAACTGTAATGACATTGCCTGCCAGTGTTGTCAAATAAGTTGCCTGCACACTCTACTATTTAGCAGATGGGGGAGATTACGAAAGATGGCGAACAGCTTTGGATTGCCAAGACAGGTGGTTTTGAAAACAGTAAGGCAAGTATGTGAAGCAGTTACAGTCCTCATGGGCCCTGTGCATATTTAGTTACTGGTGTAGCATTTTACTGAATATATTACTATTATAATCAATAAGAAATCCATAATCATATGCTGAAAAGTTGATTAACAAAAGTGTATTAATCCTCACTAAGGATAGGCCTTGCTGTGTGTAAGTTAGGGGATTTTGCATTGGAGAGTCCCTGAAGTTCAGAAGCATCTAGAAGCCAGTGTACTTTGTAGTGAGGGCAAGCTGACCCCCAAAGAGTGAGGTAAGCTGATAAGGAACCAGTCACAATCAGTTTTGGAACCAGTTTAATAAGGCAAGAGCTAATTAGTAGCCTTGAAAGGATAGGTGCAGCTTGGGATAGCTGAGCATGGAAAGTTTAAAAAAAAATCAAGAACAGGTGCGGTTGGAAATAAGGGTTTCCAACTGAAGTGTAGAATCAGGAAATAATGGGAATCAAAATGATATGGGACAATGTGAGAGGGAGGGGGCGATTACTTCATCGCCCCCAAACAGGATATAAAAAAGGATGTTTCTGTGATGTACTTTGCATTTGGTTGTCCAGGAGCCATCTTGCCACCTGAAGCTCAATAAAGAAGAGGGCCTTTTCCTTCCTTCCAAAAGAACTCAACAGCTGAAGTCTTTTGTTCTACTTTCTTTTATTTTTGACTGTACTCTATTTTATTTTGCGTTTATGACGAGAACAAGCAATCAGATTTATTAAAGAACTGAAACATAGTTAAAGAACAGATTAGTGTTTAATTATCCGTATGTTGGGGTTTTTAGCGAGCGGGAATCGCACTTAGTCCCGACACTGGTCACTAAGTTCAAAGTAGAGGAACTTGTAGCAGGGTTACACCAAGCCCAAGGCATCTCCCCAGGGCATCGGTGCCATGGATGGGACCCATGAAAATGACCTTCCCCTTGGTATCTGCCTGTTTCATGCTCCATAACTACTGTGAGGCCACCAAGGAGACAATGGATGACAAAAGAGTCATCGAGACAATTCAGCATGAACAAGGACAACCAGCCAACCACACAGACTTATTTCAGAGCCGTCTGCATCAGCGCAGAAGGGAAGAAGGTCTGGACAGTCTTTATTAAATTCCTTGATCCATAAAAGGGACTGCACTTCTTCTCTATCTTGGCCACAGTCTTCTTTGCCGCATGTGTATGTGTGTGTGTTACACATCTGTCAGACCTGCAGTGTGATCCTGAACATGTGCGAAAAGAAAGTGGTATGTTGCCATAAGATAAAAGTTATTCTGTTAAGACAACAGTGTTTAAAATGAAAATGATGAATGCTCTATGTGGTTGTCATTTCCTCTAAGCTGTGAGTTTACAGCACCCATTCTTCACAGAAATATGTTTTGTGTTAAACACTCAGACATTTTCGGACTCTTTTTGTATTGAATAAACTCTTCAGATTGTTGCCACTGACAAGGCAGCAAGTGAAACACAAAATCAATAAGAGACTCTTTTTTAATTAAGACATGAAATGACAGAAGTACCTTTAAATGATGAGCTAGTAGAAAATAAGAGAGTTCATGAATGACGCATCTCCTGCACTCCACTGCAAACTCTTTTATACATGTGGTGATGTTTTATGGCTGTAAATAAAAACCTTGCACACTGTGATGTGTGTAAGAAGGCTGTTCGCTACTGTGGCAGCACCACCAATTTATACAAACATATGAAAAATCTGCAAAAAAGGGAACTCAGAGCTGCAAAAGAAACGGAGAGAGGAGGAGGGAAATCCCTTAGACAGACCTAGACCCCCGGCACAGAGACAGAGGTCACTGTCAGAGTCCTTTCAGAAAGGCATAGATTACCCAGGGAGCTTATATAGTGGTATATTATATTATTGTTTCTGAACAAAAACCTCTAACTGAAAAAGATTTAGGATTTAGGTTCTCCAGTAATGATTTTGTACACTTTGTTTATTTTACCAAAGCCAGAGAAATGCAATTGTAACCCACTTAAAGTGAGGGTTTATTTTCATTTCATGTTTGTACTACACTTAAATATATACGTGTAGTTGTTGCAGTTCCCCGAAATTTCCTGTAGAGGGCACTTTAAGATAGTCTGAGCCAGCTGGGAAAACCGGTCCAAACCAGTTTTAGAAAAAAAAAACAAAACAAAAACGAACAAAAACACGAAACCACTTGCAGCTTAGCTTCGGATTTACTACTCTTAAAAGCGTTGAATTATTGACCTAGAGTACGAATTTGCAGATATGAAGACTAGAACTGAGCCATATTTTACTTATTTCACTCTGTAAAGGTGAAATGATCCATCAAGATCTTTTGCTGTCGATTATTTCTCCTTTTAATGAGCAACTCCGGTGAGTTAAACTCATCTGTTCTCATGCTAGTCAGTGTGAGTTAGCATGTTATGCTGCTGACTGTAAAAGAGTAGGATGAAAACTGTTCAAACGATTTATTATTAGAAAGAACGAAAGAACAGAAAAAAAAAGCCAGTTGGAGTTGCGATTGTACTATGTTTTGGTTTTGTAAATGATTTCAGGTTAATGTTTTTATAAGTATTCTTTGGAAAGCAGAATGCTAGCGCTCAGATTTGTTAAGAGCAAACTACGTAGTTAAATTTGTACTGTAATTCGACGCCTAACGTACAAATTTACTACAGGAATTGAAGATTTTCAGCTGTAAGGTCTTTTGAATATTGATATTGAAGGAATTCGTAAGATGTCAATAGTAGAATGTTCAATAAGTAAAGCATTTTTTTACTGTATAGAAGCAAATTGTTTGCTATTCACAGAATCTTCTATAATGAATCTACATAAGAATTACTTGTTGAGAAGTTGAGTAGTAATGGTTGTATGCATTGAGTTTGGATCCTTCAAGTACGCGTACGCGTCAGACTGTGAGTGAGACCAGAGCGGCGAGCCAGGACCACGTGTTGAAAGCCATCGGCTTTGCGTGTTGTTCCTTCACGGGCAGGGAGAGAACGGGAGAAACAGATAAGCTTTTCCTTACGAACTGAACTGAGATTCATCCCAAAGAAAAGAAAAGAAGCTGCATAGTAGTATTGAGCTTCAGATTTAAAATCAGAGACAGTGAACCTGAAGAGCTCTTAAGTTGTTTTTGTTTTTTGGGCCCATTTTTATTTCTTTTTTTTGTCCTTTGTGTAACTATTTCTTTCCTTGTTTTGTATATGGCTATTGAGCTAACAATATATTCATTGTTGTTATTTTCTTCCAAGCCGCATCTTCCCGCATCTCATTCTTTCCATCCTCCTTGTTTCGAACCTAGCAAACATGACCAAAGTGGATTTCTCCATACCAGTGAGAGGGTTAGACAATGAAGGAAATTAAGGCTTTTTATTATTTACCTGTTCCTGAACAAAAACCACGGGCTGAAGGAAAGAAGACTGTAAGTTTTAAAACATTCATTGTTCTCCAGTGGTAATTTAGTGCAGAATTCATGTTCAAATTAAGTTCATTACAGTATTAAAAAAATGTTTTATTTGCCTAAAACTTTGCTGTCCTGGGTTTTAACATGCACGTGATTAACTAATTACCAGTGGAAAGCAAAAATCACTTAGTGGTCATGAAAATGTATTTAAATTTAGCATATTGATGATAGATTCACCTCATAAATCATGATACACTGCTCTCCCGTACATGAAAGTACATAAGCTGCTTTTATAAGTAAAAAGCATCAGTATCGGTATCAGCGATACCGGCCCTGTATTTACTTGGGATCAGATCGATACCAAATTTTGCAGTATCGCACACCACTAGTGTTGGGTTACTTTTAGACTTCTCAACAACTAACAATTAGGCCCTACATACATGAAGTAGATCTCTTTTCTCCTTTCCCACCGAGGGGGCCAAACTGCTGCCATCTGACTTTCATAGTTCATCAGACACATCTGGCAACCAAGAGGTCAAGTGTAAGTCAAAGTGGTCTACTGTCTGCCTGTATTTCCCCTCTATCACCTTCAGTGTGGTGGTGATTATGGCCCTTGTTATGCCCTCCTTGCGATGAGGAAACTCTGGGGATGTCTCAGAAGAGCACTGCTCGAGGAAAAGAGCTAGGAAGTTGGCATGCTTGGACTGGCAAGAGTCTTAGACTCCCAGTCCACGTTTTCCTGAGTTTTGCTTTTTTTATATTCTAGCGTGAGCGTATTGTTAGCCTGCCAGTAAGTCCTCTGATTGGCCAACATGGCTTTGTGATTAGGAGTATATCGCCGCCTGCTGGTTTGGCATGCTCTTGACAGTGCTTGAACTTATGTTTTTGCGTTTTCATGTGGATGGAGCTATTTTTAAAAAACAGAGCTTGGGAGGACTGGACTTGGGAGGAAGATTTTTTATTTTAAGGCCTTAACGTGATGAGGTGTTTGAGACTTATTTTATTTTTTTGAACTTTTTTGAGTGAGCTGTTTGTTTTAATTTTTCTATGACAGTCTCCTTTTCTTTCCGTTTCTTCTCAGTTTGCATTCTCCTGGATTCAGACAAGCTCTATTAGCAGGAAACCAGGGTTTACTGTAAGCAAAATGTTCTTTTTTTGTTAATATATTTTTATTCAAGAGGGAACAAGATATAGAAAAGATAATATATTACAGTGCAGTCACATCCGTTTTCTAGTTGAAGATGGCATAGCGAGGCTCGAAAGCAGAGACGGCAGGAAGGCTGGATGACGAAGCCTGAGGCCTGAGGACGGGGCCAGGGCTGGAAGGTTTGTGCTGGCCAGGACTGCACCCGCCCAGGGACTTGGCTCGAGCTGGTGGGTCGCTGGGACATTCGACCTTTGAAAGGGAAGCTATGTAGCATCCTGGTACTGACTTGCGTTACTGTAGAGGCTCCTGGGAGACTCCCTTTAAAAGGGACGTTTAATGTTGTTTATGTTCTTGTCTGTCAGTTTAAAAGTAAATGTATGTTTTAGTTGTGTTATTCTGTGTTGGTGGTGTGGGCGTTTTGTGTTGGTCACCACAGGGTGGAAGGCTGTGCCTAATGGTGACCTTTCTGTGGCCGATTCAGTCAAAGAGCACTAATCCCAGATGAATCATCTCTTACTCTGTGCTGACTCTACAATACTTTTCCTTCAACTTTTGACGTAAATGCCGTCCTCCCTGATTAAATACTTTATACCACAGTAAGATTTAGAGATGATCTGAAGCCACGAAACAAGTGGATACTGCCCAACCCTCCCAGCTTAGGCAAAAGAGTCTTAATCAGACATGTAGCTTCTTTGAAGAGCTAGCTTTACTTTGATTCTGGCCAGTGTGTTCGGCAACCTTGACATTTTTATGTTTTTGCATAATTTTTTATTTCTGAGTATGTTCTGTAATGATGAATGGAAGTTTCTTTGAGCACTGGAATGATTTAGCATTTAGCTAAGAGACAGTGTTTAACTTACTGTTGGTTAAAACTGTCCCCTGTCTCAAACTAGAGGATATAGAGGTGGAATTCCCACTGAGAATGCCAGAGAAGTTGGACTGCCGTTCAGTCCATTGTGTCTTTTGCTGTTATAGTTGAAACAGCTCTCATGCAGCCTGTGCCATCGGTCAAACCTTGAGAGCAAACAGAAAGGCAGAGAGAGAGAGAGAGAGAGAGCGAGAGAGAGCGAGAGAGAGAGAGAGAGAGAGAGAGAGATCTTCATAATCTTTACACTTTCTCACAGTAGCTATAGTGAATTCGGTTCCTTTGGGATGTAATCTAAGCTAATTGTGCTAAATGATCTCATCTGTGGTGTTTATTTCCCTATATGACATGTCATAATCAAAATCACTGTTGTTAAGCTACTGTAGCAAAACCACATGACCCAAATTACAAGATGTTAATGCTTAGTCACAATAAAATGAGGCATAGCAGTCATCAGACAGTAAGCTGAGCAAGCAAATCGAGAAATTTGTCACTACTTAGCCTCTTACCTGTGGTGAAAACATGCAGGTGAAGTTCTACAGTGACAATGCAAAAGAAAAGTATCATGTCTGCATGTTTAGTCAATTAAAACATATTTTTAGTGATACAAACTTTCACAATGAAATACAAAACTGCCCACGTTTTTATTTTTAACTCACCTATTTAATCATGACCTATTCCACCCACTTGCTACCAAGTGAGGAGGATAAAGGCTAGCATGTGCATCTTCCTAGACACTGCATCCACCACATCTCTTCAATCTGCCGCTAACACAACATCATTAGATAACTCAGTGTGTATGGAGGAGAACACTAACTACCGGTTCTGAACAACTTGTAACACACAGACCGCTGAAGTCATGTTGTTATTCTCTAATTGCCATCAAGGGATTGTTGGAAATTGCCATTATGATACCCTCTGGCTAAAAATGGTTCTAATCTCGATACTTCACTGGATCCCCTGAATTACGAGGTTGTTAAATAGCTGAAATATGAATTTGCTACATGGAAGTTAACACTGCTGCACACTGAAATGAAACCATATAACTGGCAACTACACTGAACTACCCTAAACAAACTAGCAAGCTTTGGCAAAAGTAGTGAACATTAAGCGCAGCTGGTGTTATTATATAATAGTGCTGAAGGTTAACAGTAGACTAACTTTATTGCGATGTCATTTCAGTGTTCAGGAGCGCTAGCATGCTATTAGCATGGATGCAGCAATGTTCATATTTTGGCTCCTCAAATTTCAGAGGATCCAGTGACATTCAGAGGAAAATATAAGTAGAACAAAATGTATCAGGTTTGGGTTTTTATCTGCCACTATAGCAACGATTTTCATTTTCCCGTTCATTTATGCCACTGAGAAACCCAGCTTAGACCCAGAGTTTCTAATATGATTATTATGCTGATTATAGAATGATGCGTGACTTCAGAGGTCTATAGATGTAGAGCAAAAGTATGTACCGTCCTTAAGGACCAGTTTGTAAACGACTGAGCTAACATATGCCTCTGTTGGCTAGTATCACAGTGTGATGGGGAGAGCAAGGTCAGTTGGACTCCCAGCCATGGACGGCAGTGGCATCTAGTTCATTCCAAAGATGTATAGTAGGGTCAAGGTCTGTGCAGGCCACTGAAGTTCCTACACACCAAACTCATCAAAGTATGTATTGATGCAGCTCACTTTTAGTTCCAGTGAAGGCTAATGTAAAAAAATGCACTGGGGCACAGTCATGCTGGAACAGGAGAGGGTCTTCCCTAAACTGTTGCAAAAAATTAGGAAGCAGTTAATTGTCTAAAATGTGTTTGTATGCTGCAACATTAGCATTACCCTTCACTGGAACTAAGGGGCTGAAACCCTGAAAAACAGCCCCAGACCATTATCCCTCCTCCACCAAACTTTACTGTATGCATTCCAGTAGGTAGTGTTCTCCTGGCCTCTGCCAAACCCAGATTTGTCCACTCAGTTACAGCACATTTTAAATTTTATGTTTTATTTCTTTTCACTGTGTTAAACTTAGCAAGTAAATAGAAACTGGGCACTAAATTTGCAGAAAAATGCCATCTTTTTAAGGCTGTTCTCTGTAGAGAATCTGCTAACTTATTTTTACCTAATTAAAACATTTGCAAACCAGCAAGAGTCAGTGGCACATTAAGCAGCATTTATTTACATGCCAGGTTTTGCTTAAACATTAATTACTTTAATAATTTAAATGACGTGGAATAAATCAGTGACATTTCATTCAAAATTGGCATGTTTTGTTCATTCTTGACATGCTCCAATGGGCACCAGCATATTCCAGTGGCATGTTAACCATCATTTCTTTCATGCCAGTGGCATAAAAAGTAACCCCCCCCCCAGCTTATTTTGTCAATATTGTTGAAGTATGTTTTTTTTCTTTTCCAAAGTAAGATAATTTTAGTTGTCTTTCATGTCTAGATACGCCAGAAATTCGGTCCCAAATGTATTGGCCACAACAGAAAAATCACCTGACTGAAATGCTAAAAGGTTTTTAGCGTAGAAGCAAGTACACAAATTGTGATTAACGAGCATCCAAGCTAACGACATTCCAATAATGTACTTAAAATGATTTAAATGATTATTATTTTTAATAATAATAATAACAATTACTTTCATTTGACAATTTGGGGGACAGTGGCGAAAATCAGATGACAAATGTCACGTTGAATATGTGACTTGTAGAATATTCTACATATTTGTAAGGGGTGAAATGGGTTTTGAGGGACACTAAGGTACTTTTTATTGTAACTTAAAATTGATGACTAATGAAAAACAAACATTTGAGCATGTTTTTTTTTAATTAATTGAAGTATTAACAAGGCTATATTTCGAGGTAAAGCATAATTGTAGTGGGCTGGGGCAGGGAACATACTGTGGAACTGCTGAGAGAGATTTTATTAGTGTTTTTAATGTTACTTTTCTAAAAAATACACATAGATTGTTGTAAAGGACACTTTACGTATGTTTACAATGTGTTTACTTTTCATTTAAATACATATTTTGAATGTAACCAAAAATAGTTCTGTGAAATCACAAACTGTTAATTTCAAACAGCATATGAAGCTGAAGAGGAGCCCATGGCCGTTGAGTGTTAGCACAAAGTTTAAAGAATCAAATAATTTATTACGCTCTGAAATTATCAGCTGAAAATTTCTTACAACATTTCTTGACCTGCTTATGCAACATACAAAAAAACGTTCTTTTTGTTTTGTTTGAACCGACTTATATGAGGAAATGTGTGTAGGATTTATTTATTTTCTTTGTAAGCAAAGTTGAGGCTGTATTTTCTAGTCTCGCCACTAGAGGGTGCTATTGTTAGGCAGGAGTGCGAGTTACCCAGAGAAGGCTTTTTTCCCCTTAGAAGGAGAATAGCCAGACTGCATGAAAGACAAGAACTGTCGCCTGTCAGTAGTTTTCCCTGTTTTATACAGGTTAGTATTGTGTATGCCCACAAAATAACACTAAAAATATAAAGTTTACATGTTTAATATTACCACCTTTAGGTGATGGTTGAATGTGGGCACTATATTATATATATGTTTAGGAGTAGAAACTTTCTTCTGAAGTCATGCTAAATGGTTGAGCTAACATAAGCAGCTATGCCCACTCACTTGCTATACTTCCTGATATATTTATTTTCTATTCTTTTAAGGTAATCAAATATAAATTTGTTGTGTAAAACAGTTTTTTGCTGACATTGTTTTCTTTCACTTAAAAAAAATACTAATATATACATAATATATAATTTGGCTAACTATATATCATGATGTCTAACGCCACAACTAATTTTATGCTGCTGTCATTTTAAATTTGTTTTTTTCTGTAGTGAAATCTGCATGTACTGATGCTGAGTTACCCGCCAAATGCTTTAGGAGAACTGCTTTGTGACCTTTGGTTGACTGTTCTCGGATATATCCTGCTTTTCAGCAGAGCATCACACGTTTAAAATGTCCTAATCATAAAACAGATGATTTACAATAACTAGTTCAGCATATATGTTACGTGTTGGCAGAGGGATGACCTAAAATACAAACTTTATGGCTGAATGATTCAACATTTTCCCAGTCACTGTCAAGAAAAGAGAAAGTGTTATTCACAGCTTTGATGTTACTGATTGATTTACACGATATAGACAGCAGCTTTTCTGAGTCTTTATTCTTAACCTGCCTTAATGAAGCAGAAGGTTACAGTTTCTGCTGCAAAGTCTTCCTGCTGTTTACTTTCTCCAACAAACAATACAGTCAGAGTTTCCTTCCTGGTAGAACTTTGAGACTACTTTAAGACTGATAAATACATATGGGCAGATATAGAAAGCTTCCCAGAAGAGTGGAGGATGTTATAGCTGCAAAGGGGGACCAACTTCTTAATGCCTGTGGATTTAGAATAGGATAAGAAAAGCTTCTGTAGGTGTAACCCTTAACTTGGGTAGGTAGATTCTCCTGCCCTCTCTAGCTGATTGCTGGTCTCTGCATGTCTGTCAGTAGTTGGCCTATTGAGGATCAACTTAGTTTGTCTGTGTGTAAGTTAGCTAGCCTGACAATCTAAGGGGAGCTCATAATGTGTCCTTGCTTTGTCTTGGATAGGCTCATACTTTTCGTTGGTCCTTTGGATGCTTTGTCTATCGCTGTTGTTGGAAGAAAACCTCGTATCTCCAAAATGGTAACTTTACAGGAGAAGGGAAAAACCTACTTTACTTTTGATGTGAGTCAATGGAACCAGACATTTTTCCAAGTCATTTTGGGCCATTTCCTTTGGTCCATTCATCATGAAATTTACACACAGTGTAAAGAGTAATAGGCTTTTTCAAAATATGTCAAAAACTGAAAAACGACAAAAATGGAGGTTTTCTTCCGACAACAGCGATGTAAACACTAGCAGCCTCTTTTTAGCACCACAAAGTTCTACCTCAGACTCCTCAGTGGACATTCTTAAAATGAAGTTGTCATCTTTCCTTCTACCCGCTGCAGTTTACAGACATTGTGTCGACCAAAAACTTGTGCATCGACCCAGAAAATATGGAAATAAGTCGTTGGAGCAGGTTTCAAAGCATATACCAGACTCTCCACCTGTCAAGTTTGCTCTAATATGTACTGTCTTTATCAAACAAAACCATTTTAAGTGACAGTTTTACATCTTGTCAGTTTGACTTTTTATTTGTATCTGAAACCCAGCTTAATGTTGGTGATTGCACTTGAGTGGTCATCTCTGACATGCCCACTGCAGCTTCCACAAGGACAACTGGTCGTGGGGGTGGCTTAGCCAGTGTTTTAAATGCAGACTTTGCCCGTTGATGTCTACTCTGCATTTGAGATGTAACTTTTAATGACTGTCACTACCCTTGTCCTGTGTGCATTGGTTTACAGGACGCCTGACACTGACATTTATCTGATCTGCTATCATTTATGATGTCTCACTCTGATAAACGGTTAATTGTAGGGGATTGTAACATTCATATC